TGTCTATACGTCCTCAGCATGTAAGGAGATGCTGAGGTCTCTGTCTGTCTCCATCTGCCCGCCACTATCTGTCAATTCTCCACACTGATCTGAGCAGTGAGAAAGGGGGCAACTGTAGCTCAGCGTGGAAGGAACCGGAACAGGTCAAGACGGCGTGAAAAGTCAAAGTGGGAATAGAATAGAATAGAATAGAAAGGTGCCTACCTGAGGTAACGCAGCGGTTCTATGGTTTCAGGCTCTGCCTCAGCTGAGCTGTGGTTCATCTTGTCCATCTGTCTTCACCCACCACGAGTCGGTAAACAGGAGAAAGGATAAGCTGTGCTCCCCCAAAGAAAACACTTCCGTTCCTTCTCCCTGACTCTGGTTGAATGGACGGGCTGTGTGTCTGCGTGTGTGTGTGTATTAGCGCGAGTGTCTTTTTCCTGGGAATAGACTGTGAAATCTAAATGGACTCTCTCTCTCTCTCTCTCTCTCTCTCTCTCTCTCTCTCTCTCTCTCTCTCTCTCTTTCTCCACAGCTCTTGATTGGTTCAGATGCTGGAAGGTAATTACTGGCTGCTTCAAAACACACACGCTCTGCTTCTTGTCTCAATAACCTTTCCTCTCTTCTCTGTTTGTTTTTTCAGCTGCAGGGTCCCCTCCGCTCATTCTCTGAGAAAAAAAAAAAAAAAAAGGTCTGCGCTGTCGGTTGCTCTCACACGGAAATCCAGCCAATTAAGAAGCAGGAGCCCCGGTGCTCTGACGGCTGATTGGCTCCTGGTCGTGGCTGTTTAGTCATCAGCATCTCCACTGGTCATCGCATCACTTAAAATTTGACCAGACAGGTGCATACATTAAACACATTCTCCTCAGGATTGCTCCTTTGAAGCAAAAAATGATCATTTGATGCAAAATGTAGAAAGATTGAAGAGGCCCTGAACTGCTCGCGGACGATAAATGTTAAAGTAAGAGGGTTACTTTCACTTACATGAATTTGTTTTTTTTTTCTCTTGACATGCAGCATATAGAGCAATACTGCACTATATGCTGCACTAATATACGACAAATCAGCAAATGGGATTCAAAGTTCACACACCTATCCATCTCCAGCGGTCATTGGGTGAGAGGAGGAGTACAGCCTGGTCAGGTCACCAGTCCATCACACAAAGACGCACAACCCTGCACATGGGTAGACTTGAGGGCAATTGACCCCAGCACCTTCTTGACCCAAAGCAACAGTGCTGCCCAGTTTTCGTTCCTTCATGTTAGCTTTTAAAATAAAATAGGACAGGAAATAAAATAACAAATTAGTCCTATAGGTCAAAGTGGGAATTTTTCAGATCCAGATTGACAAAATGCTAATGGACTAGCAACAGGACACTGGGATCACATTATTTTAATTCACAGGTCATAAAAAAAAATGAAATAAAAGACAGCCTCGAGGAAGCTGTGTGTTCTGTGCCTGTGGGTTCCTAAAATCTCATTTCCAAATATGTCATATATGAGTGACTATAATGACGACCTATTTTCATTATCGGTGTAGTTTTGCTCATTCCACATTACAGTGGCTCTCATTGAATTTCTTCATGGCATCCCTTCAGAAAAACAAGATTTTCTTACAGGAGGACTCTGCTGCCATCTATTGTCCACAACAAGCAAATGCAAATCCGATCATCTTAACTCGGAACATTTTAAAAAGAAACTTGGTTTTTGTAGGCCTCTTGTGTAAATTACCTCTGAGGAAGACTGCTCTGCAAAAACACAAAATCTCACAAAGTAATTCTGGTCTTGTTTCTATACCAGAATATACATGTTAAAAATGAATTGCTTTTAATTTTAAAAGCAATTAAGGGCTTTTAAGGAAGTATTTGCTTTAAACAAGCTCCCATTTCTTGCTAAAAAATTTCTTGTAAATTACTTCTGTCTTATTTTAAGTGTGCTAAGACATTTTCACTACAAACTAGACAAAAAAATAGTAGGCAATATCTGATGTTTATGCAATGTGGAGTAAGTTGAATCTTGATGAATTGTTTATAAAAAAAACTGAATGTAATGGGGAAAAGTGGCTCTTATTTAGGAAAGGACAAGGATGGAGTGTGTGTGTGTGTGTGTGTGTGTACGTTTAGGTATATGGCTTAACTTACCCCTTATACATTACCAACTTATACACTGGGTCAAGTTAAAAACACTTTCCTTCAGCCTTTATCAGCACTTTGTATCTTTTCCCTCCAGCAAAGCAAGAGTTCAAATTTCATGTAACCCCTGGCTGCCAGTAAAACAAACAAGTCAAGAAACAGGGGTTAAAATTAGTTTTATTATTTGACAGAGCAGGAAAAAAAAAATCCAAAACAACCAACAAAAAAAAAAAAAACAAAAAACAAAAACAAAAAAAAAACAACTTATACATTGTTGTCCATTTGCGCTTCACTGCAGCTGACCCCAAACACACAAACAACGGAATGGTGATAATGTTGCCAAACAGCAGCAGCAGGCAGTCGTCAGGACAGCGCAGGGTCGCACCAGTAGGGCAACGAAAGAGGCATGGGCTCATTCCAGGTTGCTAGTTTTTTTTTTTTTGTTTTGTTTTGCTCATCAGGAATGTACACACAACCTGGAATATTTCCCCTTGTACGCCAATGTAGAAAACATGAACTTCACAAGCAATCTACCTTAATTTCTGTGTGTTTGCATTACCACCAGGCATCTGCAGATGTTGACTTTTTTCTTTTTTTTTTAATGCAAGCCCAAAAATCAAGGGATACATATCCACTTGAGGCGCTGACATAGAAAGCAATTGTGCAACCGTTAAGATTACATAGTAATAAAAAAAAAAACCTGTTATCTGACATGAGGACATTAGGCTTCAAGACGTGGAGCTTATAAGGACATAATCTTTGAGTGCAACAAAGAGTTAGAAAATGCGAGACTGAAAGCGACAATCGGGTCAGGCAGTAACTTTTAATTCAATCCGACTAAATCGAATCTAATTGACTCTTTAGGGAGATGCAGATCAGAACAGAGCTTTTATTTTGTTTTGTTTTTTAATTACTGAGAAATTGTTGGGGGTTTTTCTTCCCCTCAGTCATTAAATGCATGAAAATTCTGATTGCTCTCCATTTTCATTAAATCGACAGCATGTGGGGTTTTCTAAAAGTCACAGGTTAAGGACATGCCTTGATGCATAGATGGGAGGGGGGATACTCTTAGAACATCTGAGAATTTATTTAGACTCAAAACTACTGCCTCCATCACAGACCCGCAACACACATTTCTCTCAAGCGTAATAGTCCTTTTGAATTAGAAAAAATAAAAAAAAAATTAAAATCAGCATGTGAGACTGGAAAAAACATCAGAAATGTGCGTCAACCCGTTACAGCCCGATCGTGCATCTCTGCCTCTCTCCTTTTTTAATTACTGTAAATTTTCCAATAAGACAAAGAGAACATCATCTGATAAGCGGCACATAAACTGGGCCGCCCTGCTGGCTGATAATAGAAAACCAGCCCATTTTCTCTTGTGACCGAAACATCCTGGTTTTTTTTTTTTTTTTTTTACCATGACACTTTACGTCTGCCTGTGCTGCTGCAATCTGATTAAAACACACTGTAGCGCATGTAAAATGCAAGAATCGGCTTTACAGAAATCATACACACCTTAAAGACTAAGAAGTTCGTCATCTGTTGCAGAAGGGCTTAGTTTTTGTTTTTGCATGACTACATTCTGAAAGCTGTCCAGCTTCGCTCAAACCGGTCAAAGGTTGTGCGAGAGCCACTCGACACAGAGGGAAAAAACAAAACAAAACACATTTTAAACCAATATCCTTTCAAAACGTAGGGCATATGCAAGTCTTTACTAACCCTATAAATAAATTCAGACAGTTTTGTCTGTAGAAGGAACAAAACAAAACAAAACAAAAAGTAATGCACCACAACCTATGACTAAAAAGCAAAATTAAAATGTCAAAACCTTGACATTCCTTACACCCACTCCGTTTAGCATGAATTCATGTTCATATCCAGAGAGGGTTCAAATAAACTAGAAACCTTCTAGCAGAAGGGATTCCATTTGGGCTCCACTAGTTCTTTGGAAGGTTTATTTTACAATATTCAATAAGAATAGTCCTCCAAATATGCTCCGTGTTTTCTTTTTTTAAGCTTTTTTTTTTCTTTAACATGAGTCAATGAAACCCTTAATCTTTATTCTTCATCATCTTAGCAAAAAAAAAAAAAAGTATTTAAAACTAGGCCACAATAATGGAAACCAGCAGATGTAAAACCACCTCAACAGTAACATTAGCCTTTTTTTTTTTTTTTAATATTCAGACCTCAACAAGAGGCCACTTCCAAAGTGTCAGGGAGCACAATATTCCAAACACAGCATAGGACTTACAGAAGAGAAGACAAAATCCTAACATTCAGCCATACAAAATAGTCCAACAGACACAGCAACTTCTCTAATTTACACGCTGAAGGTTGATGAGAAGAGGCAGTCTGTGTGCAGATAGATCTTTTTTTTTTTTTCTTTCCTTGTCAGTCTGGTGTTTTTTTTTTTGTTTTGTTTTGTTTTGTTTTGTTTTTTTATGTCATTGTTGCAAAGCTAAAGCAGTTAATATTTTACGAATGGTCCTCGAAGCTCAACGATCTCTGTGACGAGGTCCGTAGGAGAGTTCGGTTAGGCCGGCGTGTGGGCCTGAGTGGCTCAGGCTGGAGGGGGGCAGGATGCAGGACAAATCGTGTGTATATTGGTGATCATCCCTAATCCCTGCGTGGTCCATAACGCTCAGCGTTGTTTTTATTTTGATTTTTTTTGTTTGTTTGTTTGTTTGTTTGTTTGTTTTCCTTTTGCCACTTTCTTCCCGGTTCGAGCAGTAAACAGTTGGAAGAGCCGAAGCGCCCCCTGCCTCCCACCGAGTCCTCGAAAATGTTTGTGACATGTTCCTTGCATCCCCGAAGCTGCTGCAGCACAACTCCACGAAGGAAATGATTCAGAAAAGGAACAAGGTAGCATAAGAAGGCGTCGAGAAAAGGTTTGAATACACCCTCTGATCGACGAGAAAAAAAAAAAAAAAAAAAAAAGTTCTTGTCCTGGCCGTCCGAGCCAGAGTTTATAGAAAACAGAATGATAATGAGCATGGCTGTTATTGATATTAGGAGGGCTAAAAGCTGTGGCGTCAGGAGGAAGTTGCATTATTTCCATGTGTTTGCTGCTTGGGAGATGGAGCGGGAAGGAATCATGTCCAGCAGATATTCCCGCTGACGTTCCACTGCAGAGGAGGTCTTATGAGCAGACAAGCTGGGATTGACGTAGGCCATCGTCACTCCTGGAAGGACACGCGACAAAAATGTCAAAGCATAGTCATACATGTTGGTACATTATTAAAATTAGTTGGTTTCTTTTTGTTGTTAATTCGCTCAGTGAAACATTATATAGATTAATTAAACACAGCCTTTTTTTTTCTGTTACCAATAAAAAACTAAACTGTAAAGACAGAAATGTGGACTGTGAAAAGGTTTTATTTCAAAAAGTTCATTTAATCTGGCAAACAGGTCTCATTAGAATGCATATTCTTATTCATTGAATATGGCCATGAATCAAAGATTAAAGAGTCTAAGGGGGAAAAAAATTATTCATTTAACTTTTAAAGCCTACGAGCAAAAGGAGCATTAGAACTCTGTGCCTTGCACATGCATGTAACCACGACTTTAATCTTTTTTTATTGGGATTTTATGTTAAAGACCTAGTCACAACCCACACTTCCTATAAAAAAATAATTGGTGAGACTTGAACATATTGTTTCCAGATGCAGCCTAACATAGCTGAGCTGGAGCCGTTTTGAAACTAAGAATAGGAAAGAAAAACAAACAAACAAAAGGACTTCTCCCTGTAGATGTGCAGATCTGGTGTGGAGACACCTAAAAAGACCTGAATTAAGAGGCTTGCCAAACTCTTTGATATGCACATTTTGAAAACCATAAATCATTTCCCTTCCTTTCCACAGTCATTAACTATTGCATATTGCACAAAATCTCAACACATTGACGTTTGTAGAAACATTCTAATAAAATGTAAAAAGCACTGTGTATATCACGCTACACAGAATCCCAAAGTAAGAAAATGTGGCGTGCATTTTCTGCATTGCTTTGTCACATTTGCGTACCTGCGTTCCCACTGCCCTGCTTCCTCCAGGCTCCCATGTTGCCCTGGTTACCGCTGCTGCTGGCGCTGACCTTTGCTCCCTGCTGCAGTGAGAGAGCGGCAGCGTGTTTCCCTGCTCTGCTGCCCAGCGCGGCCGCCGTCACCGCGTTCTGCAGCTGGGAGGAGGTAAAGGAATGCGCCACGCCACGAGACTGGATGCTGTGCGCCAAATGACTCTGCACAGAGACACAACGCGGGTGAAATGCTGAGCAAGGTGGACGTCAACAAACATAATGCAGGAGCAAATAAGAGACTGCTGCGCAAGTAAATGGAGTGCCGACCTGCTTAATGGAGTGGTGTGCAGACACTGATCGGTGCTGCAAGTCAGACCTGATCTGCTTGTACTGCGGGGATATCAGCACCTCGCTCTTGGACAGCGAGGGAGAGGAGGACGAGGTGGTTTTGGAGGAGGATGAGGAGGCCGTCTGCTGGAGGATACGCTGCTCGATCTCCTGCTCCTGCTGGAGCGCCTTCACAAAGGCTGCCTTCAGACGGTTTGTGTGCTCGGCCTTCAGGGCCTTCTTCTGATTGGACGACATGCATTGGTCGCAGAGGATGGTGCCGGCCTTCTCCTTCCTCCAGCGGGAGGTGAAGTCCGTCTTGCACTGGGCGCAGGTGTACGGGTCTTTGGGATTGGAGCTGGCCATGGAAGCAGCAGGACCCAGATTACCTAGATATGGAATAATATTCAGACAGTATTGATTATTTAACTGCTTTACAATCAGTTGTCGTCGTCGTAACCACAGAGACCATTACCCACCCCGGCCGTGCATCTCGAGTAGCTTTTGAACCACCTCCTCTAACCCCAACAAGTAGATGAACTCATTATTAGCCGCAGATGGCAGGAAGTTGAACTCGGGAGCAGGAGGTTTGGGTGGAGGAATCTCCAGCAGAGTCTTCTCCAGCTGCTTCCTTAGAGCTAGCTTAGCGGCTGCCTGCCTGCTAGCCGGAGAATCGTTGACACTGGAGCTGGGAGACGAGCCCTTAAGACCGGAGGAGCCCTAAAAACACAAAGACAAAATCTAAATTTCACACAAACTGAGAGGAGGTGCAGAAATCACCACAGGTGCGGTTTTAACGCGAGGGATGCTGACCATGACGTTGTTGGCCACGTTAGCCACTCGAATGAGTCCCTGCTGAATGATCCTCTGGCCCTGGATCTGGACATTGGGGACAGAAGCCCTGGGGGCCAGTAACAGTGGGGGCGGACCTGAACCGCTGTGCTGCTGGTGCTGCCGCAGGCTAGCGATCTGCTGAGGGGTCACTGCAATAGGCTGCTGGGGGTGGGGGTGGTGCACAGATGCAGCAATTATAGAGAGCGGTCAACAGTATAAAACAAGAAAAATAAACACATTAAAGACATTCACTGCATAAAGTTTAAAGAGGACAATCAGTCAGTGGACAACAACCTGGGCTCCTCTGACCAAGGGTGGCATCACAATCTGAGAGTTGTGTTTGGACGGGACGTGCTGTCCGCCCCGCACTAAGGGTGGGGGGATCACCGTGCCTGAGCTACGACCCGTCACCTGCAAACACAATAATGATGATGTTTACAAATAATAGTGATGAAAACCCTCAGGTAAAAGGAGAAAATACACAAGTTTTAGAATGAGTACTCGAGGTGAGGCGATACCTGAAGGGGTCCTTTACTGGACGTCATGCTGCCTCGCACTAGAGGAGGAGGAGTGGCCACTGAGCCGCTCGCCTGAACACAGACAGAGTGTGGTTTAAGAAGTTGAACAACCCTGGCAAAATAAACACCATAACTTGGTTTCTATAAGGTAGCAACTTTATAATATAAAAAAATATCATGACTTCGAAAGTGGGTTCAAATTGATCAATTTTATTCACATAAAACATATCCTGAGTATAGTTAGGAATCCCAATCTGGGCTTTCATTTAAATGATCAGTATTTCTGAATAAACTCAACTCCATATATCTGGTGTGGTGAATGATCTTATCTGCCACTTTCCATAAAGACATGCGACTGTCATTTGTGCAGCTAATTTGAATTAAAAATAAAGACGATATTTAATTAATCTAATCCAGACACGTCCATTTGGTGGCCCACTAGCTCATCAAACGCAGACATGTGAAATCTGCATGCGAATCAAATGTGCTGCTGTTGGGTTGGGGGTGAGGGAAGCATTTTCTTTTGTAAACAACATCTTAAGTTTCCTGATTTTGAAAATAAGCACAGCGCTCCGGGCAGGGCACGTTTATAGGAAGCGTCTGCACTGATAAATAGAGATATGCCTCAAGGCTGAAGAATAATAACAATAACCAAGATAGATTCACACAGGAAGTTCAAACAGGACACAGCCTGAAGTGAGTAAATGACCTTGAACTATAACACTACGGCGTCCCGCTTGCAGAAAAAGTTTAAAACTCCTCTTAGAAATTACAAATTAAATTTAAATTCTAAAACAAACAGAAATGTATCTTTTATTATAAAATATATACAGTGTTAGGCCAATAGTTGGGAGACTCTGGGTGGATTACAGATGTTTATGGGGCCCTTTGGGAAAATTGCTTATTTCCATTTTAACAAACCTTTAATTTTTCGCCACTCAGAACGTTCACAGAGAAAGAGGGCTCACGTCCAGATGTAGCGCTTTGCTTGTATGACATTACAAACAAAGCACTACATCTGAGAATCGGACGAAAACTTTCTGCAAGTTTTGACTGCACATAAAAAAATAAATAAAGAGGAAACATGCTAGCATGAACAACTTCACAGAAGTGCTTTGCATGAAAAATTCAAAGGAAGTAAAACTGAATTTTACTGAAGACTACAATTGTGCTGACTCAGATACATCTAGAGAAACAAAAGCCTGTTTATCAGAGACTTCTATTAGAACAAAATTATACTTTGCTGCCAAACCAATAAAGTCGAGTCCAAAGTGTCGAAATGGCCAAACAAAAATGAGTTTCATCAACTGAACGCAATTGCAATACTACTGTGATTTGACTGTTGCTGCAAAGTCAAATCACAAAATGCCCTGTCTCAAATTATTTGGAGCTGTACTGGGGATTAAAAAAAATCCTGATCAGGAAATCTCTATTTTTCATTCCATTAAGAGTCAGTAAAGGATTAGAACAAGAACTATGTGTTCTGCGTTGAGCTAAAACCCTTATTCAGAATGGCACAACATGGTGAAAGCCTTAATGTTGCGAACTTTGCTCTCTTTGCTGCTTACCTTCTGTACAGTGCTTTCCTTCTGGATCTGGCTTTGTCGTAGTTTCTTCAGGAGAACCAGTTTGGCTTCTTGGAGCCTCAGTTCCTCCTTGAGCTGTTTTATGATACGTTCCCTTTCCTCAGGTGAGCTCTTCTGCACATATGACAAAAAAAAAAAAAAAAAAAAAAAGAAATACGTTGATACCAAGTTATTTTCTGGGTGTAGTGACGCCCAGCTTTTATATCAGTTCAAGATAATAAATAACATACCAGACGATAGTCTATCAGTCTTTTTAGTGGCTGCAAACGCCTTTTTAAGACAGTAAATACGGCAAAACTACCATTACATTTTAAAGTTCTGTTTTCCTACCATGAGCTTATCTGTGTCCGTCTTCGTGAAGCAGTGGCCGTTCATGACGGGACTGGACGGCTCGTTGTCTGATAACACAATCACATCATCTGGAGAAGGCGGCTGTTGTTCTTTCTTAATGTCACTGAAGGAAGAAACAAGGATAATACATGCTTGTTATTAAACAAATAATCATTACATTTTATTACACATTCATAAACAAAAGACCAATTGCAGCTGGGTTTAAGTTTAATTAGTTTTCCTGAAAGTGCAGCATTGTTGCCAAGCGTTGAAGTTGTGCTTTCCAATAATACCTTGCATCATGCATAGAAATTCTAGTGTCCTATGTATGATGTGTTGTTTTGTTTAAGGATATACTTGGATGAAGCGAGAGAATCAACCGCAGCTGCTTTGGCGTCTGACTTGAATGATTAATTGGAGGATTCTTAGTAATTTCAAAGCTGGTGTAAAGACCGTCTAAACTGGTTTCAAAGTTGTTTTGCAAGTTCACACCCAATCCGTGGAGCATCATCGCTTTATCAAACATAACTTAGTCGCAGTTATGCAACAAAAGATGTACAATGCCCGTCGCAATACGCAGTAAGTCATTTAATCGCATGTCAAAGTTAAAAATGCTTAATTTCCATTCTGATAATTAATATTTTGTGAAGGGCAGTTTTGTTTGCAGAGGCTTTATAATCCATTTTATTTATTGTTTTGTGGTTTCGATTTCCATTTTATTTACTGTCTTTGGTTGTTGTGTTTTATTTTGGATATTTAAAATATCTTCCTGTTCCAGCAAAATTTGTTACTGTGACAGACCTATGAACAAGTGGCATTTGATTAATTTTCTCTCGTTTGAACAAACTTGTCCATTATAAACTTGTAGCTTTGTCTTGAATCCAGTAGATGGCGTTATTGAATTGTTATCCTGCGAGCCTTGCTGCGGCGCAAATGTGTGCAGGAACACACAAGAAGACATGTACCAAGAGATCAATAATGGGGTAATGGCGGCAGAGGAGGAATACAACCACCGATTATATCCAGCGTAAGGTAGCATCAGCAGACCAGCTGTGCTCTCCCTTCTGGGAACAGAGGGACTCAGAAAGCAGCAATCTAATGAACTATAGTGTAGAACTGGAACTGAAGTGAAAGCTGGAGACCTTTGTGAAGTGCATAATGGCTTTTCCTGGCGACTAAGCAAAACAAAGGTGACTTACGGCATGTTATGTTCGCAATCGAAGGGAGGGGGCGGGTGGGGGGACAAGTGGCAGTAGCGGAGAGGTGGGTGGAAAGGAGGAGGGAGGGGGTGTCACAGTAATGTTACAGAACATGAACAACTGCTGACCACTGTAGATAGGCCGAGTTATGCAAAATAGCTTTGGGTATGCTAGCGTCTGTGACATCGGACTCCGACGTCTGCATCATGGTGTGCAATTATTCTCCATCAAGTTGTGTGGAAGTTCAGTCCCTGCCAAGCAAGAGGTTCCAGGGTTTGAGGCAAGACCCGTTTTGTCGCCCACACAGGGCCTCACCCCGCTCCTGCTCTACCTCTATGGCAAGGCCCGTGGCCTAACCGCGCCGGCGAAGCCTGGGCCTCGGCTCTCCCCTCCCTCCCAGCTGCCGACGCCAGAGTCACAAGCGGAGCGGAGCAGAGGTCGGCCCGAGACGCTGGAGAGGGTGACAGTGAGCGGTGGGGGGGGGGGAGGGGAATACATGGCCAGGAGCCAACCTATTGTGTACACTCACTCTCACTCAGTCACCACTTCACGCACCCCTCCCCCAACCTTACTTGTTCATCTTTTATACTCCAACTCACTGAGTCAGTTCTTCTGGGGTTTTTTTTTTCCCCCCTCTTTCTTTTGCTCACCCCGGAGTCGCGTCTCTGCTGCCCTCTCAACGGCTTCCCTCAAGAGACGTCAATCTAAGGCCAGTAAGGCCTCTCTAGTGTTGGTAATGGAGTACTTTCCTTCTGTGTTTAACTTAAATGTGAAAAGAAAAACTGATCTTCATGAAGTTCTGCTTTTCAAAGACATATTACACCTTTGAGCACAAACAAACCCCGAGAGGAGCAGCTTCGTTTACATTCTGCCCATAAAATAAAAACAGCAGTCAGAGGAACACAGTAAGCACCATTGCTGAGGATTTGAGTGCTTCCTAACGTGCCACAAAACCTTCAAGGCGAAGCCTCTGCGTTGACCGATGTGGCCTCATTACCGACATGACGCGGCCTAGCTGATGAAGGTTGCTACCATGTATTGAGAACAGCTTACACAAGCGTCACAACACATGGCAGCTTGGTTATGTAAGGTCCAGTGTCTCTGCATGCCTCGGCTTCCCCAGATTTTAGCTGTACGCTGACCCCCCTCCCATGGTAGGATTTTGCTGATTCAGTCATTTTGAGGTGTAGCTGGATCTTCACATTCAGAGTGCAACGCAAACCAGCCCGGGAGCCGATTTAAGGGAATGAAACAGCTCGGCGCAGGTTGGTTGAAATATTGACAAAACACTGTAAAGCAGACGTCTAGTATATAATAGAAAGCCTCAGTTCAGTTACTGTACGACTGTCTGACACGGTTTGAAGCTGGACTGAACTCTGTCCGTTCATACTTTCCACAAAGCTGAGCTTCAATGACAAAAGCCACCATATAAACCATCAAAATAATCACTTTGCAGAAAGGAAGCACATAAACACTGAAAGAGGCTAAAAGCTGGGGCCAAAGGTGACACTCGTCTGTAATTATGCGGTAACGCAGCAAAGCCAAACACACTTACTATTCAATCACCCCTCTGTTCCACTTAAACTGTTATCATATCACTGTGTGTGTGTGTGTGTGTGTGTGTATTTATCTCTCTACCAAATACACATCACATGACATCAGGCATTTCTCTGTGTGGTCATGTGACACACCCACCACTCCTGCTGGCCCCTCCTTCCTCCAACTGCTCCTTCCAACGTGGAAACCATGGCAACGGCCAGTTGGAACCAGTTTGTGACACATAGCCTTCATTTTGTGAGAAGTGCGAGGCAGAGTTCAGGTGCTGCTGTGGGAGAAAATGGAGCCTGGGCCTTTAGGAGCCTCAAAAGTTTTCAGAATGGGGGCAGGCTGCTGGCAACCACACACCGACTTCCTGTATGACTCCTGTCAGACCACTCGCTCTACTGCAATTTCAGTGAGAAACCTGAAACTCCAAAAGACGCAGCTCTATGCAAAACACCCCGCTGTGCGTGCCTGCATACAATCCAGGGCCTACAGTAGCATACATAGGGCCTTGCCCTTTATAACAGGGAAAAACATAAAAATACATACAATATTACCTCAGGTGTCGTAGAATTCAAAACGTTGATTCAGCCTACCAATCTACAACTGTATCAGCAAGGTAGCCCTTGAAGCTCAGAGTTGGCGACAAATATGACGCAAGAGTGATTGTAGTGTTTCTTGCAAATGCTGGTAAAGGGTTGTGGAGATAATTGGCTTACAATGTAATATCAAGGCCCAGAGATTAGGAATAGACTGCTACTGGTCAATGTTCAATGCATTAGATGGCTTCAAGTGTTGATCGCTCTCTAAAAGAGTCTCGACATGGACTGGTTTCTGATATACGAGTATGCCAAAGTTATGTATTTTTAATTTATTGCATTTCTTGTAAGCCAAGGTTCTAAGCTTTTGCAGTTTAAAAACTTTCACTGGCTCCTACTGCGCTTCACAAGATACCAGAGAAAGCACCAGAGTGACCAGTGTTGTGCCTGGATGTGCAGGGCTCAAATAAGCTGCAAGGCCCCCCACCAACCTCTCATGTTGATGTGCACTGCCGATCAGCTGGCTGGAAAAAATAAAGGGTACTACACTTTACCCCTTACCTTCAACTAGGCCTGGTATGGGTTCTCATAGGTTGAAATATAATTGTTTATAACATGATATAAACTGCTTTTATTCAACAGATCAACTATAGTTTTAAAATGCTATTGTTTAATAGAGCGATAGATTGCACTCCTTTCCTCACCATGAAGTTGTTGTATGAGAAAAGTTTTGTAGTCTCCCTTCAGCCAGCTGATTGGCAGTGTGCTGCAGTAAGTGGAGGAAGGACAGGATTATATGTATACACCATACTATGCGTTTTATACAGTCCAGAAATTCCCAATTATTCTGTCATTTTCTCCGACATCCGATTAAATGGTTTGAAAAAAAAAATGAAGGCACCACCTATCACTCTCTTAACCCATTCGATAACTCCAGCTAGCAAGCTTTGGGGAAAGTGTCTGTTAGCCTAACGCAGGATTTATCCAAGCAGATAGCTCCACTATCCATCCATCATCTTCCACTTATCCAGAGTCGGGCTGCATAGGCAGCAGCCTAAGCAGAAAGGCCCGGCTCCTCCAGGGGAATCCCAAGTTGTTCCCAGGTCAGCCGAGAAAAACAGATCCTCCATCGTGTCCATAACCTTGCTAATTACCCAATTATTCTCAGCTATCTCAGATCTACTTTTATAAACACCTACAAGCTATAATATTCTGACCTTGAAAAGAAACACTAAATTAATGCATTTTCCCTTTTCCATATAAATTGAGAAAATTTATACATTTTATAAATTTCCATATAAATAAATGAATAAATAAATAAAAAACGTTATGGAACCCATTACCTGTAATTATCAATATGTTGGATTTTTTTTTTTTTTTTTGCAGCAGGTGTAATTGTTGTTTTTCTCCTAAAATTGATTTGTGTCGTTTATTTCTGTTTTGTAGTTTTGTGTCAAAACATTGAAACCTTTGAACTTGCACTAAAGGCTGTGCAGCAAAAATGTAATGCCAGCTCATGTCCAACATTAATACAATCATGTAAAGTACAGTATGTTCTGTTTACATGACAGTGGAACACCCACGATAAAACCAAAACCCAACAGACTATTTTCCTTGTCTCACCTTTTGGATGTGCTCATATCCACAGGTTCGTCTCCGGTCTGCACCTCCAACTTGATGGTGGCCTTCACCTCCCCAGTCTTCAGGATGCTGGCTGCGACCTTAGCAGCCTGCTCACTCTTCAGCTTCATGCCCTCAGCTGCAGGTCCCACCAGGGCCAGCGGGGCCCCAGCTGCATCACCTCTCTCCAGCTTTACCCGCTTGCCGTCCATGTCCCCCGGGGAACCGCCAAGAGCTGCATGGTCCCTCTCCAGAGCTCGCTTCTGGCTGCGCGTTTGACGCACCGCCTCTTCTGACATGGCTGCTCTCACCCTGGAGATACAGAAGGAACAAACAGTTGCAGCACTCTGTTTATGTATTCATAAAACACAAACAAGCAAAAAAAAAAGGTAGGATAAATAAAAAAAAAAAAAAAAGAAAGAAAGAAAACGGTGAAGAGATTGTTGACTTGAAATCAGGACTGAGGGCGAGCATTTCTCATTTGGCAAACATCATCAATATAACAAAATGCTTCAGCACAACAGAAGCAGTCTTATAAGCCAAGTGAGGTCAAATCTGGCTCAGTGTACATTTCACTGAAGTGAAAAAGTATCTGAAAGTGAGTCAATTAGATAAAGCCAGCAGTGCCAGGCCTCTACTTAGCAGTGACACTGACCTGAGTGTCTTAAACAGAGACAACAAAGAGTCCTGAAGGTGATTAAAGATGCTAAACCAAATCAGCTAATCTGCAGTTTGAAACAAAGTGTCACATACAGGGGTGGCTTGGTAGCACTCAGTACTTCAATGACAGTTTGCAAAAGTCAAACACATTACAGTACATTAATTTAGATCCAGTACAATTGGGGGGGGGGGAAGAGAGAGAGAAAAATACACAGGATTTGATTGAATCAAGATTTTCTTCACTTAATAAATAAGTGATTATTATAACAGAAGCTGTCTTGATTTACTAAATTCTACTGTGGGAAGAAAAACTCATTAAAATATGCCAAGGATGCAATATTTGCAGTTTTACTTCATTTCTCTTAAAAAAACAATCAAGTCTTATAAATTTATTAGATCTATAGAGTTCACTTAAAATTTCCAACAACTACCATCCTAAACAGGTGCAACGCCAGAAAAGGTTTACATACATTGAACAGTCTCATATTCTGTAGTCTGGTCGTGACAGTCTGGGTCAGATGGTTGATATTAGTATTAGGTTTAGAAGATTCTTGGTGAGTTTTTCTATTCAAAGACTAACTATTAAGTATTTTGGTAAAAGCATCATGCTTAGCGTATCCTTTGTTGCCAATACACTGAATCCAAATTGGTCAAGTCCCTATAAAATCAGTAGTTGAAACCATAAAGGTGTTGCAACAAAATGTTCTCAAACACACACAACAATGAGCTTCTGGAATGACCCTGACCAAAACTCCATTTAAAAAAAACTGAAAAGTGCCAGAAAACAAACCAACTTAAATTAAAAGCTGGCCCAATTCTTCCAGAGTACAGCAACAGCAAAAGCAAGAGAGCCGCAAAGATTTCAGAATACAAAGCAGAAAGTGATCATCATTAGTGAAACCTTCACACGAAGCGAACAAATAGTCACGCATTAGAGATGAAGCAGGAACTCACAACTTCACTTTATTAATTCATGATGTTTCACATAAAATGTGTGTTATTTGGAAACATTCTGCGCACTGATAAGTGGATACAACTCCTGAACACATTATGAGCAATTTATGAGAGGGAAATCACTTCCTTGAAAAACCAGTTCTAACTGGTCTAAGATGGAGGGAGCACAGAGGCCGAACCAACCCAGAAACAAAGTGGCAAGAATTTCAAGGAGAACACGGGACAAAACGTATTCCAAATCACAGCTGCAACTTGAAACCGAGCCCTCGTACCAAATTATCTCATCTACGTTTAGGAATATTTATCTGTAGAGACTAATGTGAAGCAGAGAGTTGGAAAAGGAAATCTGAAAATTCATCAACAATTATTGTGTTGATAATAAGAACAGTAAACTAATGTCTGGGATGTTTGTGTTGGGCTGCAAAGCATGGCAGTCTACTGAAAAGAGAAACCTAGTCTACAGGTTATCATAGGGCCCTTTGAGTTACGTCTCATTAATATTAAATGTTGCAGTGACTCACACTGCTGTTTAATGGCCAAAAACATTCAAAACAAAACCAACTTAACTCAGGAAAACATTCAGGCCTGTTGACATGAAAAGTTTGCAGTACTTAGAAAGGACCCAACTCTGTTACACAGCTAGGACAGATGTGCCCTGCTGTACCATGCCTGAATACAAAGAGCATCTATCTACCGGAGATGACAGCTTGTGTGTGGGAGTGTGTTGCACACAGCACTGCAGAAATCAAACTTAAACCAAGATACAATTAAGTAATGGCTTCACAGTCGGTTTGCACAACATTGTGGTGAACTATGGCAGATTTAAGAAGCAGAGAGTCAAGTCTCAAAGCTAGACATTCGAATCGCCACGTGACCAGAAAAACTGCAGCCACTAGTTTCAAGTTGAGACATGTGGCTACCTTTGTCCCGGAAGGAAGGGACAGACTGTGAAGCCCTGAAGTATTAGATGTCCCGATAGGGAGCATTTGCGTATGCTACAAAGTGAGATGATTGCACTTGAAAACCAATGAGGCCTTTGTGTGCCGTTGCTGGTTTACTTATTCACATAAATTGTCCAGAGAAGAAACACCAGCGGCTCATTCAGACGTTAGGCGTACAATACCTGAAGCCTGTTATTAGAACCGAGTGACTTCATACAGCAGATGGAAACTCAAAGCCTTTTCTCATCACTGCAAAAAGCGCCACCAGGTCCTTGATCCATAAATCCTCTTCTGTGTGGATACCGCTACCAAGTGAAAAAGACTCACAGTTAGCCACTTTCACAATCACTGAAATGTTTTAATGGCTGTGGTTTATATGGGGCGTCAGAGAGAGACAGAGCCGATAACAGGAGGACTGAATGGAGGAGGAAAAGTTGCTACATTATATTATTCTAAACTTTGAATCTGTCTGCATTTGGAAATGTTGGTGCCTTCCAGGAAAACCCCAAGAGTTTAAAGGGAAGATGTTATATACTTCAGACAATTAATAATGTCAATCAAACTAATTATGCCAATTGCTAAGATGATAGATGTTAACTACATAATTTTCTCTTTTACAAAATTAGTGAAACACGTCTTTACAGTGTTGTTGCAATAAACAATTCTTGCGCACAAAAAAAAGGTAAATATTTTGAATGTTTTTCTGGTATCTCCCAGTGTTATTGTTGTTAAATAGAAACCAGAATCGACTAAACTAAATATCTGCATGTCAAAGCTTAACCACAAAATATATGGTGGTGCATCAATCAGGATTTTAACGGCATTAGTCAGGCTCGCTCTGTTCTGGTTGAAAAAATAAAAAAGTCAAACTCAAACATCAAACTGGCAAAGAACTACAACTACAAACTTCTAAAGCAACCAAGCAGCAATAGTCTTGGCAACCTCAAGCTCTTCTATGCGCCATAAAAAAAAACAGCAACTGACCCTATAATCACACTAAGGGGTTTGATTTGTCGGCTGTCAAGTCTATAAAAGAGTTGAGGGGAAGCTGAAACCTGCAACCAAGAGAGGCTGATTTTTCAGGCATATGGTCTTCCGTTTATGTCTGAAACACTTGCAACCGAAGGGAATTGGTGTGTGGATGTCTGCTTACATTACAGACTGAGCATATTACCAATGAAGGGATGTCATTATTTTCATGAGATGCTCGCCAGTTTGCCCCTCATCCCCCTCCCGCCCTTTGTGTAAACAGTTAAGTTTCCTTTTTTTTTTTTTTTTCCTTTTTGAATGAAACTTGATCATTTTTCACAAGACTGACCCCACCAAAAGTCCTAAAAGTAGGAAGAACACCAAGAAACTGGTGGTGGAAAACAACAAGGCAATAAGAGTTGCAAAATAGTTGAGGGTCATCATGTTTTTAGGGGTAAGTAGTTTTGTTCAGCTGCCTAGAAACTTAAAGAACATATGTTATATGAAAAAAAAAAGAAACAAGCTATATATTGAGACCTATGTATTTGTGAATCCACAGCAAATGTTCCAGCAGCATGTTGAAAGTAAAAAGAAAATCTACTAATCAGCGGTCAGAGGATGTTGAAATCACAGGTTAAAGGTCACATTTAACTGTCTGCAAGCAATTACATTTTCAGGGAATTTTACAGCATAAACAGCTTTGTGAGCTCAATTCATTATTAAACCAGGGTCTCCACTTATAATTCAGATGTTTTCTGTCTTAGATGAAAACAAAGAAAAAGAAACCTTGCCTGAAGCAATTTTTCAGGCATCCCATCTTACATGAAATAGTTAGGAGTGTTTAAATTTAGTAAAAGACAACAATCAATGACCACCTTATTCTTTGTGTAAATATGGGACATTTCTATGAGCAATATAGATCTAAAGTAAGGCATATGCGTGTTGACTGTCAGAAAATATTTATAAAGTGCAAGCAATGCTAAATGTTCAAAACACAAGTGGAACTGTGGCAAATAAGGCTGGAAGAGGACATGTGTTTATCATGCTACCATAGACAGCGACGGCCTTATAAATGGGCCTTATTCTCAAAATTCTGTTTTATTTTATGCCAAATTCCACTTTTTCTAAATTCCATTTTAACTATATTAATTAACCCAAAAAGTACATAATTATGCAATGGATGGGGAAAAAAAACACATCCTTAGCTAGGGTTCAGTATCTCATACCAAATGAAAAACTGCTATGGTTCAACAGAACATTAGTTTTATAATATTCAGTGTTTCCCCCTCATTTTTTTGAAGAACTCAAACATTATGTGCAAAATCTAATATCTTTTTTGTAACATAAAAGAAAATCTCCCTTTTAAAAATGCTCTAGAGTTGAACTCAATATCAATATACTTATTACATGCAAAAAAAAAAAACACACACGTAAGAAGTGTTGTGCACGTTTCCATAATAATCAAGACATTTGTTCATATTTTTCCTTCCATCTGCATAGGAATCTCCACCATCCGTGTTTTGCTGTGGATTCCGGTTTGTTTATTAAATTCAAACGATTCAGTCCGCGTTTTCCACATCGCAGAAATCATGGGGCCCCAGACACAGCTGCAGTATAAAAAAAAATGCCCCAAATCGAGGGTGAGACAAAGTAACAAAAACTCTGTAAATCTAAGCTGAGCAGAAATTCATATATAAGCTTAAACACAGGACATTTATTGTTCTCTGAAAGGAGCCCGCAGCCCAAATGAAATCTCCAACATCCTTGAGTACAGTATAACAGGATAAA